TGCGACCTCTGCTGTGCAGGGCCACGACATCATCGGCTTCGACCTGGAGGTGCTGCTGCAGAGGATCGCGGCGTTGAAGGTGCCGCACTGGAGCAAGCTGAGCCGCCTGCGTCGCTCAGCGATGCCTCGCCTCGGGGTGAGCGGGTCGACCGTCTCCCTCTGAGTCGTCCTCTTTCGGAGTCGTCCTCTCTCTCTCTCTGAGTCGTCATCTCTCTCTCGCTCTCTGAGTCGTCCTCTCAATCGTCCTCTCTCTCTCAGTCGTTCTCTCTCTGAGTCGTCCTCTCTCTCTGAGTCGTCCTCTCTCTCTCTGAGTCGTCCTCTCAATCGTCCTCTCTCTCTGAGTCGTCCTGTCTCTGAGTCGTCCTCTCTCTCTCTCTGAGTCATCCTCTCTCTCTCTGAATCGTCCTCTCTCTCTCTGAGTCGTCCTCTCTCTCTCTCTGAGTCGTCCTCTCTCTCTGAGTCGTCCTCTCTCTCTGAGTCGTCTCTCTCTGAGTCAGCGACGGTGGGGGTGGTGACGGTGGGCGTGGTGTCTGTGACGGTGTGTTTGGTGTCCGTGACGGTGCGGGTGACCGTGTCCGTTGTGGATGGGGGTGGTGTGTCCGTGACGGTGCGTTTGGCGTCCGTGACGGTGGTGACGGTGGTGACGGTGGTGACGGTGTGTGCGCCGTGGCGTGGCAGGGCCGGCGCGTGGTGTTTGTGACTGTGGGCGTGGTGACGGTGGTGACGGTGGGCGTGGTGTCGGTGCGGGGGTGACGGTGCGGTGGTGACGGTGGTGACGGTGGTGGCGGTGGTGACGGTGTGTGTGGCGTGGCAGGGCCGGCGCGTGGTGGAGCGCCTGGCGACTTGCGGGCGCGTGGTGTGCGACGTGAAGACGTCGGCCCGTGAGCTCGTGCGCTGCAGGAGCTACGACCTCGACGAGTTGGTCGCCTCGCTGCTCAGGACCAAGCGGGAGACGTTCTCCGCAGAAAGCGTCGCGGCCGCCTACGTGAGTTGGTGTGTTGGTGTGTGCGTGTGTTGGTGTGTGCGTGTGTTGGGGGTGCGTGTGTTGGTGTGTGTGAGCGTGTGTGTGCGTGTGTGTGGTGTTGGTGTGTGCGTGTGTTGGTGTGTGCATGCACGTGTTGGTGTGTGCGTGCGTGTGGTGTGTGTTGGTGTGTGCGTGTGTTGGTGTGTGCATGCGCGTGTTGGTGCGTGCGTGTGTGGTGTGTGGCGTGCGTGTGTGTGCGGGTATCGGGTACTCGGTTGCGACCTCTGCTCCATCCTAACCCCCCCTGTCCTCACCCCCCCCCCCCCTCTCCTCCGGTTTATAAATAACCATCATAATCGTCCCCTTCGTTCCACAGCAACTCGCAGCGCCTGCTGGACATGGCGTCGCACACCCTCACCGACGCTCGGCACGCGCTCAGCATCATGAGCGAGCTCAACGCCCTGGCTGGCTCACCAGATCACCTGCATCGCCGGCAATTTGCTGTGAGCGGCCGGAGAGTGTGTGGTGGCGGCAGGTGGTGGTGGGGAGAGGCACGGTGTGTGTGTGTGTGCGTGTTCTAACCTCACCGCCAGGGAGTGTGGTGGGTGGTGGTCGGTGGTGGTGAGAGGCGCGGGTGTGTGTGTTTTAACCACGCCTCCAGGGAGTGTGGTGGGGTGGTGGTGGCGGCGGTGGTGGTGGTCGGTAGTGGTGAGAGGCGCGGTGTGTGTGGTGTTTTAACCTCACCGCCAGGGAGTGTGTGGTGGTGGCGGCGGCGGTGGTAGTGGTGGTGGTGGTGGTGGCGGTGGTGATGGTGGGGGCGGTGGTGGTGGTGGTGGCGGTGGTAGCGGTGGTGGTGGCGGTGGTGATGGTGGTGGTGGTGGCGGTGGTGATGGTGGGGGCGGTGGTGGTGGTGGCGGTGGTAGCGGTGGTGGTGGTGGTGGTGGCGGTGGTGATGGTGGTGGTGGCGGTGGTGGCGGTGTAGTGGTAGTGGTGGTGGTAGCGGTGGTGGCGGTGGTGGCGGCGGTGGTGATGGTGGGGGCGGTGGCGGTGGTGGCGGTGGCGGTGGTGGCGGTGGTGACGGTGGTGGCGGTGGTGGTGGTGGTGGCGGCGGGTGGTGGTGGCGGTGGTGGTGGTGGTGGCGGTGGCGGTGGCGGCGGCGGCGGCGGCGGTGGTGGCGGTGGTGGCGGCGGTAGCGGTGGTGGCGGTGGTGGCGGTGGTGGTGTGTCAGAAGGCTATGGGCAGTGGGTGGTGGTGTGGCCGATTTCGTTTTTGTTGTCTTTGTTGGTATCGTCGTTATTGTTGACGTCGTGATTGTCGGTTGTCGTCGTTGTTGTCATTGTTGTTGTCATCGTGGGTTGTTGTTGTTGTCGTGGTTGTCATTGTTGTTGTCGTGATTGTTGTTGTTGTCGTCGTGATTGTTGTTGTTGTGCAGTCTCGCACGCTGCTGGCGGGCGTTCGGAGCGGAATGAGTTCCTGCTGCTCCACGCGTTCCACCAACGCAACTTCATCTGCCCCGACAAGACGTACAGCCGCAGGAACAGCGCGGCCGCCGAGGTAGAGCCACCACGCACGCACGGAGTCACCAACACAGAGCCACCAACACAGTCACCAACACAGAGCCACCACGCACGCACAGAGTCACCAACACAGAGCCACCACGCACGCACAGAGTCACCAACACAGAGCCACACACACGCACAGAGTCACCAACACAGCCACCACGCACGCACAGAGTCACCAACACAGAGCCACCACGCACGCACAGAGTCACCAACACAGGGCCACCACACACGCTCGAGTCACCAACACAGGGCCACCACGCACGCACGGAGTCACCAACACAGCCACCACACACGCTCGAGTCCACCAACACAGAGTCACCAACCACAGGGCCACCACACACGCACAGAAGTCACCAACACAGAGCCACCACGCACGCACAGAGTCACCAACACAGGGCCACCACACACGCTCGGAGTCACCAACACAGGGCCACCACGCACGCACGGAGTCACCAACCAGGGCCACCACACCGCTCGGAGTCACCAACACAGAGCCACCACACACGCTCGGAGTCACCAACACAGAGCCACCACGCACGCACAGAGTCACCAACACAGGGCCACCACACACGCTCGGAGTCACCAACACAGAGCCACCACCACGCACGGAGCGGAGAGTCGCGAGTTACACAGAGAGCCACAGACTCCCAACACAGACTCACCAACACAGAGCCACAGACTCACCAACACAGAGAGCCACAGACTCACCAACGCACAGAGCCACAGACTCACCAAGACAGAGACTCAAAAACACAGAGTCACAAACACAAAGACTAACACTCACAAACGCAGAGATCCATAGAGTTACATTCACAGACGCACAGACCCACAGACTCGCTCACAACACCGAGACCCACGTCTCACAAACGCAGAGATTCATAAAGTTACAGACACAGAGACCCACATGATTACAGAACTCCGTGTGACGCTCACCCCAGAGGTCGCAAACGGGTTTTGATTCCTTACCCGTACCCGTACCCGGCCGCACCACGGTACCCGTACCCGGCCGTACCCGTACCCTACCCGTACCCGGCCGGGTAGGGTAGGGTACGGGTATCGGGTACCCGATTGCGACCTCTGGGATGAAGCCATGTTGCAGGCGCGGGTGGGTTGATTCTAGGAACTTGAATTGTGAGAAGAGACAAGACGTTGGGAAATGAGTGACAAACGGTGACTCACCAGTGACTCACGGCCTACCCGTACCCGTACCCGGCCGCACCAGGGTCGCAAACGGGTAGCCGGGTATCGGGTACCCGGTTGCGACCTCTGGCTCACCCCCCTCCACACCCTGACGGGTCTCCGTGTGACGCCCCCCCCCCGCCCAGGACGAAGATGAAGATGGCGAGCGGGGGAGGGGGAAGCGCAAGGCGGCCTACGCTGGAGGCCTCGTCCTGGAGCCCAAAGTCGGTACGTTGTTGCCGTCACGCACGGGTCTGTCCGCTGCTGGATGAATACGTGGGACGTAGCGTGTGTGGGTGTGTGTCTGTGTGTGTGTATGTGCGTGTGTCTGTGTGTGTGTGTTTGTGTGTGTGTGCGTGTGTCTGTGCGTGTGTCTGTGCGTGTGTGTGTGTGTGTCTGCGTGTGTCTGCGTGTGTCTGTGCGTGTGTCTTTGTGTGTGTCTGTGCGTGTGTCTGTGCATGTGTCTGTGCGTGTGTCTGTGCGTGTGTCTGTGCATGTGTCTGTGCGTGTGTCTGTGCGTGTGTCTGTGCGTGTGTCTGTGCGTGTGTCTGTGCTGTGTTGTGCGTGTGTCTGTGCATGTGTCTGTGCGTGTGTCTGTGCGTGTCTGTGCGTGTGTCTGTGCATGTGTGTGCGTGTGTCTGTGTGTCTGTGCGTGTGTCTGTGCATGTGTCTGTGCGTGTGTCTGTGCATGTGTCTGTGCATGTGTCTGTGCGTGTGTCTGTGCGTGTGTCTGTGCGTGGGGAGCGGTGGTGTAGTGGTTAGCGCGCCGCGCTACGAACCCAGCGACCCGGGTTCGATCCCCGCTCGCGTCTAACAACAGCGGGGGTCCTGGGCTCTCCCCTAAGATCGACGCGGTGCGGTGGTGTGGTCAACATCGCCACTGGGGAGACAAAGGCGGCCGGGCGCGGTGCTGGCCTCCCACCCCCTCGTGTGCCACGGTGCCGGCAGCCTTCACAGGTGCTGCTACTCGCTAACTGCACTTGCCCCTACAGTCCGTTCAGAGGCTACACCTTTGTCTTTGTGCGCGTGGCAGGATTTTACGACAAATTCATTCTCCTGCTGGATTTCAACAGCCTGTACCCGTCCATCATCCAGGAGTACAACATCTGCTTCACCACCGTGTGTCAACACACACCGCCCGGGCAGGTGACGTGCGTGCAAGTGTGTCTGGGCCCTCCTCCCCTAGGTCGGCTCAGCCTCGAATGGAGTTACCCGGTGTAGCGGCGGTGTAGTGAACGTCGCCACTGGGGAGACAAAGGCGGCCGGGCGTGGTGCTGGTAGCCACCCACCCCCTCGTGTGTCACGGTGCCGGTAGCCTTCACAGGTGCTGCAGCTACTCGCTAACAGCACTTCCCCTACAGTCTTGTTAAGAGGCTGTGCGGGGGATCTTTGCCTGCGTGTGTGCGAGTGAAAGTGTGATTGTGTTAGTTGAGGGTTTAACTGCCACAGCTCCTTACTATTAAAATTCCTTCCCTCTATTAATGCTAACTCTACTCCCTGCCTTTGATGCTGCTAATCCTGCATCCTGCATAATGCACGGGCATAATATGACTTTGAAACCCCCCGCCCACCTCCTACGCATTTCACAAGTAGTGACTAATCCCATATCTGCATTTCCCATAAATATTCTAAATCCCTCTGTTGATATGCAAATTCATTTGTCAAGGCGCCCTTCCCCTCCAACCCAGCTTAAATATACGCTCCAAGCCTGGTGGTGTTTCATTCAGACGCTGTCTTTCCAACAGACCTGTTCTTCACCTGAGGACGGCTGCTTGCGTTGTGGCCGAAACGTCGTGAGAATTTTATTTTATTATGTTTTATTTTTATTATTTTATTATTCCCTTCTACGTGACTTTACCGAAAGAACCAAGAAATTGAGGGGCGATCAAAGTGTTTGGGCGGGGAGTCGTGGCTGGGTGTGTGTGTGCGTGTGTTTGGTTACGGGGAGCGGTGGTGCAGCGGTTAGCGCTACGCTGCGCTACGAACCCGGCGTCCCGAGTTCGATCCCCGCCCACGGCCACCGTCATTATCCGTGGCGATGATCTCGATCGGTCCCGGGCCTCCCCTAGGTCGACTCAGCCTCAAATGAGTACCTGGTGCGGTGTGCAGTAAACATCGCCACTGGGGAGACAAAGGCGGCCGGGCGTGGTGCTGACCACCCACCCCCTCGTGTGCCGTGCCGGCCTTCATAGGTGCTACTCGCTAACAGCACTTGCCCCAGCAGTCTGTTAAGGCTTTACGGGGGATCTTTGTCTTTTTGTGTGTGGATTATAAGATAATTAGATGCAAGGGGTCATTTTGTAATAAAGTTCTTTCACCCTCAATGGTGCTAACGCCTCGTGGCTGGGAGGCTGGCTGAGTGTATGGGTGGTTAGCTGGGTGTATGGGTGTATAGGTGGGTGTGGGTGTATGGGTGGTTGGCTAGGTGTATGGGTGGTTAGCTGGGTGTATGGGTGGTTGGCTGGGTGTATGGGTGGCTGGCTGGGTGTATGGGTGGTTGGCTGAGTGTATGGTGGTTGGCTGAGTGTATGGGTGGCTGGTTGGGTGTATGGGTGGCTGGCTGAGTGTATGAGTGGCTGGCTGGGTGTATGGGTGGTTAGCTGGGTGTATGGGTGGTTAGCTGGGTGTATGGGTGGCTGGCTGGGTGTATGGGTGGTTAGCTGGGTGTATGGGTGGTTGGTTGGGTGTATGGGAGGCTGTGTGTATGGGTGGCTGGCTGAGTGTATGGGAGGCTGGCTGTGTGTATGGGTGGCTGGTTGGGTGTATGGGTGGCTGGCTGTGTGTATGGGTGGCTGGTGGGTGTATGGGTGTATGGGTGGTTGGCTGGGTGTATGGGTGGTTGGCTGGGTGTATGGGTGGTTGGCTGGGTGTATGGGTGGTTGGCTGGGTGTATGGGTGTATGGGTGGCTGGCTGGGTGTATGGGTGGTTGGCTGGGTGTATGGGTGGTTGGCTGGGTGTATGGGTGGTTGGCTGGGTGTATGGGTGGTTGGCTGGGTGTATGGGTGTATGGGTGGGTGTATGGGTGGCTGGCTGGGTGTATGGGAGGCTGGGTGTATGGATGGTTGGCTGGGTGTATGGGTGGCTGAGTGTATGGCTGGCTGGCTGGGTGTATGGGTGGCTGGCTGGGTGTATGGGTGGCTGGCTGGGTGTATGGGTGGCTGGCTGGGTGTATGGCTGGCTGGCTGGGTGTATGGGAGGCTGCAGACGCACTTGACCCTGCGTCCTGCCAAGGCTACACGGGGGGAAATATCTTTGTCTTTGTTTGTACACCACCAGGGTGCCGACTGGATACCGGATTTGCCCGACTCGGGCCTGGAGCTGGGCGTGTTGCCCACGGAGATCCGCAAACTGGTGGAGCGACGCAAGCAGGTCAAGGGTCTCATGAAGCAAGCTGACCTCAACCCTGACCTCTACACGCAGGTCAGTGTGGCCTTAGTCTCACTCCGTGACCTCTACACGTAGGTCAGCGTGACCTTAGTCTCACTCCGTGACCTCTACATGCAGGTCAGTGTGACCTTAGTCTCACCCCCTGACCTCTACATGCAGGTCAGTGTGACCTTAGTCTCAACCCTGACCTCTACACACAGGTCAGTGTGACCCCAGTCTCAACCCTGACCTCTACACGTAGGTCAGTGTGACCCCAGTCTCAACCCTGACCTCTACACGTAGGTCAGTGTGACCTTAGTCTCATCCCCTGACCTCTACACGTAGGTCAGTGTGACCTTAGTCTCAACCCTGACCTCTACACGTAGGTCAGTGTGACCCCAGCCTCACTCCCTGACCTCTACATGCAGGTCAGTGTGACCCCAGTCTCAACCCTGACCTCTACACGTGACGTTCTATTCCTTGGTCACCACATTCAGATAAGCCCCTCCCCCCTTAACTTGTATATAAGGGCTGGTCTTTTGGAATTTTTGCCTCACTTGATGCAGTAATTTTAGCTGTGACGGTCCCGCCTGATGACGGAGACTTGTGTTGCCTCCGAAACGTCGATTCATTATTTTATTTTATTTCTATTACTACTTGTATTAAATTTCGATTTATAGTTTTCGTGACTGCAGGGATTCATCTTGTCTGGTTCTTTAGGTAAAGTCACGTAGAAGGGAAATACTAAAATAATAAAAATCAACATAATAAAATACAATTCTCACGACGTTTTGGCCACAACGCAAGCAGCCGTCCTCAGGTGAAGAATGAAACACTACCAAGCTTGGAGCGTATATTTAAGCTGGGTTGGAGGGGCAAGAAGAGCGCCTTGACAAAGACTTAGGTTAGTGTAAATGCGATTGGTATTACCTTAGAGTCGCGGCATCTCTTCAGAAAGGTGAGAGACTCGATTAGCTGAGCCTTCTTTTATTAAATAATTTTTTTTTTCCTACGTGACTTTACCGAAAAGACTCAAAGATCTGTCGACACCTCCCCCCCCGCCCTCCCTCCCTCTGGCGCGCTCCCAGTACGACATCCGTCAGAAGGCGTTGAAGCTGACTGCCAACAGCATGTACGGCTGCCTGGGATTCTCGCTGTCGCGCTTCTACGCCAAGCCGCTGGCCGCACTAGTCACCCTCAAGGGACGCGAGGTGCTCACACACACACACGTGTCTGTGTGTGTCTGTGTGTGTCTGTGTGTGTCATGTGTGTGTCCTGTGTGTGTGTCCTGTGTGTGTGTCCTGTGTGTGTGTAATGTGTGTGTCGTGTGTGTGTCATGTGTGTGTCATGTGTGTGTGTGTGTGTGTGAGTGACTCGATGTGTGTGTGTGAGTGTGTGACTCTTGTGTGTGTGTATGTGAGTGTGTGTGAGTGAGGTGCTCGCACGCACGTACGTCTGTGTCTGCCTGTGTGTGTCTGTGTCTGCCTGTGTGTGTCCTGTGTGTGTGAGTGACTCGATGGGTGTGTGAGTGGTGTGAGTGAGGTGCACATGGCCTGGCACAAGCATCGTGGTGACGTCACCGCCACTTAATGGCGAGTGGCGGTTGTTGTGAGTGTGTGACTCGTGTGTGTGTGTGAGTGAGCGTGTGGGTGTGTGAGTGAGTGTGACTCGGTGGGGGTGAGTCACATACACACCCTTACCAACTCACTCACTCACACACATCACACACACACTCACACACTCACATACACTCACACACACACTCACACACACCCCACTGAGTCACACTCTCACACACACTCACACACATTCACACACACTCACACACACTCACACCACACACTCACACACACACTCACACACACTCGCACACACCCCACTGAGTCACACACACTCACACACACACTCACACACACACTCACCACACTCACACACACCACACACACTCCGCAGGACGGGGGATGCGGGTCACGGGAAGAACACTTACAACCTCCGCACAGGCTGCGTGGCACGGGTGGTGCTGCTACGCCGCTACCCTCCCGCAGTAGAACGTCAACGTGCGTGCGTGTGTGTGGTGCGTGTGTGTGCGTGCGTATGTGTGTGTGCGTACGTGCGTGCGTGCGTACGTAAGTGCGTACGTAAGTGCGTACGTGCGTGCGTGCGTACGTAAGTACGTGCGTGCGTACTTGCGTACGTAAGTGTGTACGTGCGTGCGTACTTGCATACGTGCGTACGTGCGTGCGTGCGTGCGTACGTGCGTGCGTGCGTACGTGCGTGCGTGCGTGTGTGCTTCCAGGGACGCGTGTCCGCGCGTGGCGCGTGATTTTTTCCCCCTTTTGCTTTTTCCAGATCCTGCTGCACACGAAGGAGCTGGTGCAGAAGGTGAGCGAGTGGGTGGTGCAATCGTCTCAGTCGGTCAACCCGTGGCACCTGCTGGGTCTGTTCCCGTGACCTCCTGCACCTAGCCTGGCACAGCAGGGGGCACAGGTGGTGCAATCGGCCAGTCGTCTCAGTCGGTCAACCCGTGGCACCTGCCGGGTCTGTCCCGTGACCTCCTGCACCTAGCCTGGCACAGTAGGGGGGTACAGCTGGTGGTGCAATCGGCCGGTCGTCTCAGTCGGTCAACCCGTGGCACCTGCTGGGTCTGTCCCGTGACCTCCTGCACCTAGCCTGGCACAGTAGGGGGGTACAGCTGGTGGTGCAATCAGCCAGTCGTCTCAGTCGGTCAACCCATGGCACCTGCTGGGTCTGTCCCGTGACCTCCTGCACCTAGCCTGGCACAGTAGGGGGGTACAGCTGGTGGTGCAATCGGCTCAGTCGGTCAACCTCATGGCACCTGCTGGGTCTTTCCCGTGACCTCCTGCACCTAGCCTGGCACAGTAGGGGGTACAGCTGGTGGTGCAATCGGCCAGTCGTCTCAGTCGGTCAACCTCATGGCACCTGCTGGGTCTTTCCCGTGACCTCCTGCACCTAGCCTGGCACAGTAGGGGGGTACAGCTGGTGGTGCATCTGCCGGTCATCTCAGTCAGTCAACCCGTGGCACCTGCCGGGTCTGTCCCGTGACCTCCTGCACCTAGCCTGGCACAGTAGGGAGCACAGGTGGTGTCAGGGTTTGGATCGAACTCACGACCTCCTGTAGACCAGGCGAGGTTGTTAACATCTCCTAGCCACCGTGATGATGATGAGATGAGAGAGACACGAAGACCCAAATATACAGCAGCAGGGTCAGGGTCAGGATCGAATCGACGACACCAGGCGAGGTAGTCAACATCTCCTAGCCACCGTGATGACGATGAGAGAGAGACACGCAAACTCAATATACAGCAGAAGCCAGGGTCTGGATCGAACCCACGACCTCCTGCGTACCAGGCGAGGTAGTCAACATCTCCTAGCCACCGTGATGATGGCAGGAGACCCCTGGCCATATTGTGCCTGGCAATGGACGGGGGGGCGGCCGTTTGTTGACCCCAGGGGTCGTGTGCGACGCAGATGAACCTGGAGGTGATCTACGGAGACACGGACTCCATCATGATCAACACCAACAGCCGGGACTTGGACGAGGTCTACCGGCTGGGGTCAAAGGTGGGCTGACGATCGCCGCGATGATGTTGTGTGCAGGGCAGAGGTCGCAACCGGGTACCCGATACCCGTACCCTACCCGATACTCGGCTACCCGTACCCGGCCGGGTACGGGTAGACCGTGAGTCACTGGTGAGTCACCGTTTGTCACTCATTTCAGGTAGGGTACGGGTAGGGTACGGGTAGGGTAGGGTACGGGTAGGCCGTGAGTCACTGGTGAGTCACCGTTTGTCACTCATTTCGGGTAGGGTACGGGTACGGAATCAAAACCCGTTTGCGAGCTCTGGTGCGGGGGAGCGGTGGGGTGTAGTGGTCAGCGCTACGTCGCGCTACGAACCCGGCGACCCGGGTTCAATTCCCGCTCACGGCCAACGCCGGTGACGATTTTATCTGAACCGGTTCTGGGCCTCCCCTAGGTCGACTAGGCCTCAAATGAGTACTTGGTGCGGTGTGTAAACATCGCCACTGGGGAGACAAAGGCGGGGCGTGGTGTCAGCCACCACCCTCGTGTGCCACAGTGCGGGCCTATATAGGTGCTGCTGCTACTCGCTAACAGCACTTGCCCCAGCAGTCTGTTCCAGGCTACACGAGGGTGATCTTTTTTAAATCCTTTATATTAAGTTCGCTTGCTTGCGTGCTTGCGTGCTTGCTTGCTTGCTTACGACCATGCAAATCTTTCGGTCGTTTTTTAACCCACTTCTCGTGATCCAATCGAGCTGACATTTTGCACACAGACTCGTTGTGCGAGACAATTAATGTTCGAGAAATTTTTTTTTCCAAAATGTTACATGTTTAGGGAAAACAAATTAAATATTTAATTACCAATTGCTTAATACTGCATAGGTGGCAGCCATCTCAAGCCAGAGGACGAGAGGACTCTAGCCACCACGCATATAAAGGATTTAGAGTGAAAACTTTGTTTTTACGGGTTATACATTAAATCCTTTATATTAAGTTCACTTGCTTGCTTGCGCGCTTAGGACCGTGCAAATCTTTCGGTCGTTTTTTAACCTACTTCCCGTGATCCAATCGAGCTGACATTTTGCACACAAACTCGTTGTGCGTGACAAGTTATTTTCGTGAAAATTTTTAGCCAAAATTTTCCACTTTTTAGGAAAATGTTTTTTAGATTTAATTTAAAATACGAATGTGATAAAAATGAAACTGTTACTCAAGAAAAACAGAAATTAATAATTAAATAAAACCGATGCCACGCATATAAAGCATTTATAGTGAACAACTTTGTTTTTACGGGTTAATTTTTGTCTTTGTGCGTACGTGTGCGCGCGTACGTGTGCTTGCGTTGGGGTTCACGTGCGAGGTGTGGGTTCACGTGAGATTTCTGTGGGGGGTTGACGTGGTGCGTGTGGGTTCATGCGTGTGTGGGGGGGGGGGGTCCACGTGTCCGTGACGTCACCGCTGATTAAAGGTGCATTGAAAAATGTGACACTCCGACTGATTTCGATTAAAGCTTTCGTGACTGCAGGGATTCATCTTCTTGGTTCTTTCGGTAAAGTCACGTAGAAGCGAGGTAGTCAACATCTCTAGCCACCGTTATATTATTTTATTATGTTTTATTGTTATTGTAATTTCCCTTCTACGTGACTTTACCGAAAGAACCAAGAAGATCACTTGAAGATGTTTTCTCGTTCATGTTTTAGTTTTCTTTGTTGCGGTTGCACCCGATTCAAGAGCCGAATGGCTCACAGGGCTATACCAGAGGTCGCAACCAGGTACCCGATACCCGTACCCTACCCGATACCCAGAAACCCGTACCCAATCGGGTACGGTACCCGTTTGCGACCCGGTGCGGCTGGGTACGGGTAGGCCGTGAGTCATGGTGAGTCACCGTTTGTCACTCATTTCCCAACGTCTTGTCTTCTCACAATTCAAGTTCCTAGAATCAACCCACCTCGCCTGCAACATGGCTTCATCCCAGAGGTCGCAATCGGGTACCCGTACCAGGTACGGGTAGCCGGGTATCGGGTAGGGTACGAGTACAGGTACCCGTTTGCGACCCTGGTGCGGCCGGGTAGGGTAAGGAATCAAAACCCGTTTGCGACCTCTGGGCTTGTACCTAATCAATGAACTTGAACGGCGCTCCCCGCAGGTGAAGGCGGAGGTGAACCGCTCGTACCGCCTGCTGGAGATCGACGTTGACGGCGTCTACCGCTCCATGCTGCTGCTCAAGAAGAAGAAGTACGCGGCGCTGAGCGTCGAGCGGCAGCCCGACGGCTCCTACACACGCGGCAGGAGCTCAAGGGCCTGGACATCGTGCGGCGCGACTGGTGCGGCCTTGCCAAGGCCTGCGGCAAGTGGTGGCGGGTGTGGGAGGGTGGCGGGGAGGGTGGTGGGGATGGTGGTGGGGTGGGTGGTGGGGAGGTGGTGGGGTGGTGGGGAGGCACGCTCACTTCCCACACTCGAACACTGCAACCAGGCGAGGTAGTTAACATCTCATAGCCACCGTGATGATGATGATGGAGAGACACGCAGACTCCAAATGTACAACAGGCACCGTCAGGGTCGGGGTCGAACCCACGACCTCCTGTATACCTGGCGAGGTAATCAACATCTCCTAGCCACCGTGATGATGATGAGAGAGCGCAGGGGTAAGGGGTCGGGATTGAACCCACGACCTCCTGTATACTAGCGAGGTAGTCAACATCTCCTAGCCACCGTGATGATAAGAGACGCAGGGGTAAGGGGTCGGGATTGAACCCACGACCTCCTGTATACCAGGCGATCACATCTCCTAGCCACCGTGGATGATGAGAGAGAGAGACATGCAGACTCCAAATACAGCAGCAGGCG